ATGAAACAGTAGTACACATGTTGTTTTATGACATTGGTTAACAACCCCACAACATATTAACCCTCTAACTTCTCAACCTTTTTTTTTTTGGTGAAAATACACAGAGCCAAAGATACACCGTTTCAAAAATTTCTACATGCACAGTTCAGTGACATTGACTACGCTCTTCCAATTGTGCTGTTATTCTTACTTAAGATGAATCACCTTCAGTTTATTTTTGTGAAAAATTACAGTTGCATTGTTCAAATAGTGAAGTTCTGATCCCTAACTCATAACTCACCATCAGCCAACTCAAACAGCCATAGCCCCTGATTTTGGGTTGTTTTTGTGTGCTTTTGGGTCAATTCCAACTCATAGTGACCCTACAGGACAGAGTAGAACTTCCCCATAAGGTTTCCTAGGCTGGAATATTTATGGAAGCAGTTTGCCAGGTCTTTCTCCTGCGGAGCCGCTGGGTAGGTTCGAACTGCTGACCTTTCAGTTAGCATCAGAGGGCTTAACCATTGTGCCACCCACCAGGGCTCTTTGACTTTGGGTACGGAATGGATTTGCAGAGATTGATTGCAAGTATTTAAGTATTTTTATTGGCAGTGCTATAAAGTATCAACATTAGCTATTAGCACTGTATAGTTTTTTATAATAGGTTAAATTGTTCCCAATTAAGTTATTTAAATCTAAAGAAATACTCTACACCTACTAATAAAAGTAGCAGCAACAACAACAACTAATTCTTTTGCTGATTACCAGACTCTGGTTTACTTTTGTGTTCCTTTAGAGTGGACTTAGACTAATTAAAACTCCTAAATATATCTAATGCGTAAATCTTCAAAACAAATCAGTTCATTGCCACTAAAGGATTAAATGCAGTAGTCAAGGCATCTTTCATTGAAGTAGCTATAAAATCAGTAGACGTCGGAAAGACATATATCTTAGGGTATAATCATCAATTTTCTGTGAACAGATGAATCAGAACAGCCACATCATCCTGTGTGGTCAAATTTCTCAGTACAACAAGGATGTGCCTTATCCTCCCCCACTGCCCCCTGCTGTAGAAGCAATCCGGAAAGAAAGGAACATCACAAGGTGTGTTCTACCCCTTTGCCCTTATTACCAGGTTCTAGAGGGTTTAAATATCAGAGATGTATATGAAATGTATTGTTATTCATATATAATTTTGCTTTATTAAATAAAAATTTAAAATATACATTAAAAAATTTTATTGTGGTGAAATATATATAACAAAACAATTGTCATTTCAACCATTTTTGCATGTACAGTTCAGTGGAAGTTACATTTACCATGTTGTACAATTCATCACAACTGTTTCTAAATTTTTTCCATCACCCTTAGTAGAAACTCAGTACTTCTTAAGCAGTACCTCTTCATTTCTGCCTCGTATTCACCCCTGGTATGAACTTTGGTCTCTATGCATTTGCCTATTCTGTATAGAAAATAGATATTTTAAAGCCAGTTCAATATTTAGGTTTTGGTTAACCTGCTCCCTAGCAGAAATCTTAAAAAACAAAAACATAATGCTGTTCTATCAGTCAGAACTCTTTTGGTTGCAGGTGATAGAAACTCAATGTACACTGGCTTAAGTGCAAAGGAAATTTACTGGCTCATGTATCTGAGCCAGTCAGGTACATGATTATGTATAGATGGTTTATGTGTTTATGATACATAAATCGTTTAGATTTGGCTGGATCCAGGGTTTTCATAGTGACATCAGGAGTCAGTTTTTCTTCACCTCTGGGCTCTGCTGTCCTCTCGCTCAGCTCTGCTCTCCACAGGCTCTCCTCTTGTGGTAGCAAGAGGATGGCTGTTAGCGCTAGTCCTAGATTTTTACCAGGTTAGTAATCCAAGCAAAAAAGAGGGTAGCTCTCTCCTTGTGGTTCCAAGTCCCAAAGCTGATACTTATTGGCTCTGACTGGCCTGGCTTAGGTCACCTGAGGGTGGGGAAGGGTGTTACCCACAAAGGAAAATCAAGGTGCTGTTACTAAAAGGAGTTGTAGCTCTTGGGTGGACAAAAACAATAGAAGTCCACTATACTTACACCTAAAACTACATTTGATCAGATTCAGTGTGATTAAGTGCTAATATTTGAAGGATAAACAGATATTAGAGTTCTAGAACGATTTGATCTTGAACTCTTTCACTCCTTACCTATTCTCTGATCATTATCCTTCTCTTCCCCACTACAGGGAAAGATTTCTGGTGTTAAATTATAAGGACAGATTTGAGCCTGGCATTCTACAACTGGGCCAGTGGTTTAAAGAAGGAAAACTAAAGGTATAACTTGCTTCTATCCTTTATCAATATGATTCTTCCTGCTACTTGTTATACTTTTGTATGATTTGAACTTATTATAGCAAACGTATTAGTTTTATAATAAAAATTCCTACAAACAAAAATGTTACCGAGTATCACAGTAAACTTGAAAAAGCCAGAACCTCTGTAAGGCGGAATCCTGTCAGAGAAGGAAAATGCAAATATTTTCCACTAAAAAGAGCAATAGAAAAGTGGTAAGACTGCACCTTGTGTAGAAGGCGGAAAACTTGTGAGACCCAAAAAAAACAAGGCAGTCCTGTCAAGTTCTGGCTTTCACAGGTTTCACTGCATAAAGTAACTTTATCTCCCAAAAGACTATAACCTCCTGATTGAGAAAACCTCTCTTTAGTATTCCCTTTATCTAAAATTTATTAAGCTTTACTTTCCATAGATTATATTATAAAATCAAGTTTTTTTCCCAAATATAAAATTGTAAGTCATTCATTTAATAAATATTTATGTAATGCTACTACGCGTTAGAAGCTGTTCTTTCTCAAATCATGTAAGTACCTCCCAGTACCTCTTCCTCTTTACCACCACATTTCTTTCCTGCCCGTCTTGGACATTCTGATGTATCTCTTGGTTGTTGGTTGAAAATCAGGAGTTACTAATCTGGGGTCCACAGACCCTGACCTAGGATGTTCTTGAGACTTGTACACGATACACAAAGTTGTATGTTTGTGTGCTTATATATTGTTTTTCGGAAAGAGGATGTGTAGCTACCAACTGAAGAATGGGAAAATAGGATTATATTTTAAAAAATCAATTAATAAAACTTTCCTGGGCTACCTGAATGATATAAAGAATATCTGTTTTTAGACAGAAAGTAATAAACAGTATTGCTGCCTTTTGGAAAAAATGTAAACTATTAAATAGAAACATTGAGGTTTAAAGAATACTAAATCTAGCTATGTTGATCTACAGATCAAAGAGACTGTGATAAATGGATTGGAAAACATGGGAGGTAAGATGAATATAGTTATTTCATTCATGTGCTCAACACAAATATTCCTTTTTTCTTTTAATGCTACCACTTGGGTGTTTTTGTTTTAATCACTCGTTTCTTTCTTGTAAAAGTGGCCTACAGGTTTCCTTAAGTATCTTAAGTTCCATGAAAATTCACTTTTCTGGTATTTAAGACGTATTATTTTCACATTTCAAATTGTAAAATAAGTGTTTCTTTGGTTTCATTAGAGTCATTTAGCCTGTAGGTGATTTTTTCAGATTGAATGGTTCTGAGGCATCATAAGAAGTCCCTGAGTGGTACAAGCAATTTGCCATTGGCAACTAACCTAAAGGTTGGCAGTTCAAACCCACCCAGTGGTGCCATGGAAGAAAGGCCTGGCAGTCTGCTTCCGTAAAGATTATAACTAAGAAAACCCTATGGAGCAGTTCTACTCTGTAACACGTGGGGTTGCCATGAGTTGGAATTGACTCGACAGCAATAAGTTTTTTTTGGTTTGAGGCATCATAAGATTATATTAAGCAAATTTTCAGTATTTAGGGCTTTTTTTTTTTTCCTTGCCTAACAGATTTCAACATTGTCTTTTTTATGTTTCAAATGAAAACGATTAAATCAAACTGATTTTTTTTCCTTTTTCAGAAAAAATTTTAATATATTTGGTTAATGTTTACTAAACAGAAATATGAATTTTACTCATTTGTCTGGTATAACAAATGTGTATTTCATTTATTTACCTAGTAAAACTTTAGAATTAGGTTTCTAATATTTTTGACAGTTATTTAAACATTGTTTTCACTGACATTTTGTTCCTATACTTATTTTTCTCCTGTCTTCAGACTGTAAACCATATTGATGTAGAAAACAAACCTTTCCTGTTGGGTTAAAAACAATATTTGAAGGTGTTAATTGGATTAGCTTGTGCTGTAACTTGGTCAGTGTTTTATTTGAGGCTTCTTTCTTGACAATGACCTATATTAATATTAAAATCATTGAAGAAATCATTCAAACTAATCATTTATTTTGTAAGTCTGACCTCCTGATAAACATGTATGATAGTGACATTGATGTTTTAAGATAACCTAATTTTTTTCTTTCCAGCTGCATTCCAGTCCTTGATGACAGGAGGTAACATCGGAAAGCAGATAGTTTGCATTTCAGAAGAATTCACTTTGTAATTTCTGGAAGAGTGGTCATCAAGGAAATCACACAGATTTCCCATTTTGTACAAAGAGTTTTCAAGATACATTTACAAAAAAAAAACTACTTAGAGTACAGATAACTTTTAATTTAAATGTGAGCATAGGTGAAAATTTCTTAGGTGCTTGATATATTCGTTCCTATATCATAAAGGTCATGTGCGTACTCTACATCCACCATATGATTATTTACAGTAAGATTGATGGCAACATGATCTAGTTTTCTTTCTCGTTTTGCTAAAACTAATATTACATATACTTTTTATTAGATATTCTGAAGCCACTATAGAGTTGATGCAATTGTTTATGGCTCTTACAAAATAGAACATAATAAATTATTTTTTATTAATTTAAACTAGAATGCTCAAGATACACCTTTTTAGTTCAGATCTTTTTTTTAATAATGCAGATATTAAAATTTAACATTTTTGTAGCAATAAGTTCCAAACATTTATTTGAATAGCCCTAAACTTCCTGGGAAAGTCAACCTTGATAGAATTTGGTTTTCAAAATAGGTTTGCTAAAAAGGTAATTCTTTCTTTTTGAGATTTGTCTATGTCTGCCAGCAGTTAAGTCACATAATTTGTGTTTATCCAATTAAGAAGTGGGCAAAATGGGATTTATCTTCTGATTTATAAAGTACATTTTTGTCATGCAGTTTACTTTAAAATAAAAAGACACAAAACTTGTTTCTGATTGCATAGTAAATTGGAGGCAGCGGGGCTTTCTAGTGGCAGCTTCTGACTACCATGTGCCTGGCACAGAGGGAGAGATCAGTGTTCCTGAAAAAAAATGCATTAATGGGGGAAAAACCCAGGGCCCAGCGGGTGAGATGATAAGAACTTTGGAGTAGGGGAGGGCGAGAGACGTGTGAACATATCCATAAACTTGGAATTTGGAACAATGAACCAATTTTTTGTGAGTACTCCATGTTCAAGGAAATGCTTCTTTGAGAGGTATGTTTATTTCCCCCCCTTCATTTGTTCAAACTGAACTGCTTACCTGAAAGAGATCTGAACCCAGCCCTGTCACCTATTAGCTATACGATCTTGGGAAAAGTAACTTAACTTTTCTAAGCCTGCTTCTTGAGCTCTTAAGAAGGAACCATCTCTGCCCTCTTTATTTTATAGGAATGTTATGTGAAGCAAATGAAGTAATAGACATGGAAATAGTTCGCAAACTGGAAAACATGTTACAAATATAAGGTGTTATTATGCTTCGTGCCTTCCTACCCAGTTTTCATTTAGAACACTGTACGTTCTACTAAGAAGATCTGTATATCCCCTTATTTTCCTCATCCCCTTTCCACTTACTCAAACCCACCATCCTCCGAGACCTAGCATAACCATTTACTTTCTAGTCCATTAGTCTCGCAAGCCATCCTTCTACGGGAGTCATGTTTTTGCCAGTGTTTCAAAATCTTTCCCCCCTTTGTGTCACATCTAGTTTAATTTTTCACACCTCTCTGCTTTCTGCTACTAGAATTTAAGATCTGAATGACCATCTTTCTCATCTTTGTGTTTCACCTTGGCACAGTAAAACTTGTGAAAGCCAGAACCTGTGTAAGGTGAAAACCTGTCAGAGAAGGAAAATTCAAATATTTTCCACTAAAACCAGTGATAGAAAAGTATGATTGCACCCTGTCAAAGGTGGAAAACTTGCGAGACCAGGAAAAACAAGGCAGTCCCTTTGAGTTCTGGCTCTCATGGGTTTCACTCTGTTGAACGGGAGATGCATTACATGATTCTTGAACTAAAACTTGGTGTAAGAATAGCATTGGAATTAAAAAAAAAAACCCATTACCGTTGAGTCTATTCTGACTCATAGTGACCACATAGAACAGAATAGAACTGCCCCATAGGGTTTCCAAGGCTGTAAATCTTTATGGAAGCTGACTGCCACATCTTTCTCCAGAGGAGCAGCTAGTGGTTTTGAGCCTCTGACCTTTCAGTTAGCAGCTGAGTGTTTAACCACTGCCCCACCAGGGCTCCTTAGAATTGGGAAGGCATTTCCATATTGTAGGTGGGAAAGGGACTTAATGATGTTGGGTTTGGGGGTGGGTTTGGAAGATTCAGAGCTTATGGAAGTTTTGGGGTTGCAGAGCAGAGGCTTTTCGGTTGGGAGTAGTATGAGGAGATGAACAACTGATTGGTTAATGCAATGGAGACTTACTCCAGAGGATGATCTATTGGTGTTTTGCCAAATAATTTACTGCATAGCCTGGGAAGTCAAAATAGATAAAAAGCATGTTTGTTTTAAGTTAGCAGGCATATACTGTCAAATAGTTGTGAAGATTTAGAGGGCAAATAGATCACTTGGAGTTTAGGTGATTAAAAAGATTTAAACAACAAAGCTTTAGAAAATGACAGGTCTGACTGGGCAAATTAATAAACGGTTGTAAACCTGCATGTTCAAGACTTAACTTATGTACCTCTAAAGAACATTTGTTGTGTTAGTTGTAATCAACCCTTTAGAACTGTACAATGGAGGATGTTTTTCCGAGTGTTGTGCTGGTTGATGCTCACTTGTTACACACAGCAATTTTTTTGTATAAAACATTTGTAATAAGTAGGTTAAAACTGTGTTGGTAATTAGTCACTCCAGTTGACTTCAGCGACCTTCTTACTTTTCCAGGACCATCTCATTTCCCCAGAGGGCTTCATCTCTTCTCTGTATGTTGATAACTCTCAAATTCCTATTTCTGACCTCTTATCTGAGCTCTGGACCTTTACCTCCAATATCCCCTTAGTACCTCAAACTTTACTCATCTAAATAGGAATTATCTTCCCCAAACCTGTTTCTCCTTTGTTTTTTAATTATTTGTGTGCCCCAAATACTCTTAGATGAGTCCCTTATCGTTCGGCACACATCAAGTATCCAGAAATAGTGATTTCAAGGAGACAAGCTCACAAAGCTCTAGGCATCCAACTCAGGACACCCGAGACCACTTTATATCCTAATACACGGAACTCAGACTCTAGGGAATCCATATATCAAAAAAAGTTCTACACGTGAGTTTCAATTCGTACCCCAGCCCTAAGCAATGCAGAACTTGATTTCCGAAAAGTTCCCTCTCAGCGGTGAAGCTCTGAAGTGCTCTTTACCGAGCGCTTTGATGTTTAAGTAGTGATCTTTTCTTTCTCTTTCGCCTCCGTAGTAACTGTAGTACCGATCTCTTCAGCGGCTGCGGAGAAGCAGTGACGTCACGGCTAGAGCTAACTGACCCCGTTTTTTCCGGCTTCGCCGACCCAGGAGCTCCTAAAGCCGAGAGAGAATGAGTCAGGGGCGGGGGTCCGCGGCTGCTTCTGTCCGGAGACTGAGCCCTGCAACGCGAACCCCGCTTAGCACGGTCAGCGTCTCCCGGGGACCCTGCACTGGGCTGCCGCTGTTGGCTCAGAGGCGAGCGAGTGGGTGTGTGCGTAGGGGGGGGAGTGGTGGTGGTGGCCAAACTTCCTGTCCCGCGCTCGAGCTGCTTCCGGCGGGAGCCGGAAGACGCTGTGTGTGGTCGGAATTCGGGACCGACTGACGGACGGTCGGCTGCCCAGGACGAGAAGGTGAGCTCCGGGGTGGGCCCGACCACAGCTCCTCAGCTAGGTGGTACCCGAGAGGGAGGGAGCAAGCACTGGCTACTGAGGAGCTTGGGCCAAGTTCACCACGGGAGAGGACAGGGAAACCGCCCCCCTTGGTAACCCCTCCGGGGTCTGGCGGGCCCGGGAGCGGCCGGTCTGAAGCCCCACAGCTTCCGCCCTTCCGCTTGCGGGGTTTTGGGGACGATATCTCGGCCCCTTTGCTTGGTTATGGGGGCAAGGGCTTGGAAACAAGACCGTTCTGTGAAAGCCAGGGTCAGAGAGTCCCCGGGGCGGGGGCTCCCGGATTGCACCCGCAGCCGGGGCCTGCCCGCGGGCTTTGGGCCTTGTAGTAGGGCCGTTGTAATGGGGGGATAGTGGGATGACGGGGCACCCCGCTCTGGATGTTTCAGCCCAGAGCAGCTACCCTATCCTTTCACACATCGATTTACTTTCTGAGTCTGGGACAGGGAAGACTTCTGACTTGGAGAGACTGGACCGCCGAATTTGTCTTCAGGGGGTTTCGGGCTCCGAGTATTTACGGCCTGCATGTTTCTCACCAGTTGAATTTATCCAACGAAGTTTCTTAAGAGATTCAGTTTATTAAAGTTTCCCAGTCGATCATGAGGCTCTGAAAAATGCAAGTAGGCACCATTTGCAAGTTCGTTACTATTGAGGCTCAAGAGTTTCTACTTTTTATATAGAGACCTGAGTTTATTACTGGTTACCAGAAACCGGAGGGAAAGGGGAGTTATTGCCTATGGAGCATTTAGTTTCGGTTTACGGTGATGGAAAGCGATTAAGGGTAGGATTTCACAGCCGACTAATGTAATTGCTGTCAGTAAGTTGTACACCCGTAAAAAGTTGAATTGGCAAAAGTTGTGTGATAGATTTGCAACAACAAAGAGTAGCGGCTGTGGCTGCTTATGTACAGCCGAGCACCTCATGGGATTTGAGTCCTTGGTTTGGAGGTTTTAGGGTCATGGTTTCATGGGACACCCCAGTTAATTGACCTAATATAGTGTAGTGTTAGTGCTTTTGGCATTACTTCCTAGTTCATTGTGTAGTGACTGGGGTCTTAAAAACTTGCAAGCAGCCATCCAAGGCACAACAGTTGGTCTCTATTCACCTGGAGCAACAGAGGAAGAATGAGAGTCAGGAATAGGAGGAGGATGTGGAATGTGTGACTGATTGCCTCGAGAACCACTGCCTCCTTTGTGGTGAAACCAGAAGAACTGGATGGTACCTGGCTACCATTACTGAACATTTTAATCAAAGATTCAATAAAGAATCCTCATCAAAAGGGGAAAAATGGAGAACAGAATTCCAAATTTTAATGGACTCATGACTTTCTGGAGCCATGGAGCCTGGATGAACCTCTGAAACTATTGCCCTGAGATAATCTTTAAGCCTTAAACCAAAAATATCACCTGAAGTCCTCTTAAAACCAAACAGTAGTTTAGCTTAACTAGTAAAGAATGTCTGCCTTGAGCATTATGCTCCTTTAAGATCTGCCTGTATGGGATCAAACTGATGACAGCAACTGGAAAGATTAGATAGGAAACAGAGGACAGTGAGTTTATGTTAACGGAGGAGGAACAACTCAGAAAAGGATGGTGAGAATGGTTGCACAACTCCAAGTATGTAGTCAGTGTCACTTAATCGTACATGTAGGAATTGTTGAATTGGTGTATGTTCTGTGTATGTTCTCAACAACAAAAATAAAATGAAAAAAAAGAATTTCTCCTTTTTCTCGCTTTGGCACAAGGGTCAACGCAGCATGTTTGCCAAGAGAATAAAGGCAACATTTTTTGAAATAAAGTCAAAAGCGTTTTGTTGTTGTTAGTGAGAGAAATTCTACCTTGTGTTATCCCAGTGTCGGATACAGTAAAGACAACTCAACTAAAAGTTAGAAGATTTAGGTTCTAGTTTTTTGAGTTTCGCATCTAACTAGATGTCTGACTTCGGGCAAGTTGTTTTATCTGTTGTAGCCTTTTCTTTTCCCTCTGTAAATGAAGAGGTTTACCTTTCATTCAGCAGATATTTCCTGGGTGCTTATTTTGTGCAAAGCACTGTGCTAGGTAATAAGAGCAGGATGAATGTGCTCAACAGAGCCTGTGAGA